GGTGCCGAAACTATGAACAGGGCCCTCTGCGGCCTGTGAAGCCACGGCCTACCCCTGTGCGGTCTGTGCCGAGTCCTGGAAAGCTTCGGGATTGCCGAAGCCACGCGTCAGTGCAAGCCGAGGCACCTCTTCGTTACAGTGTTGGAGATGCCTTTCGCCCTGGTCTGCCCAAACCAGACACAGTGGCGTTAAGGGAGTCATCGTAACAAGGCACTTGAGTCAGCTGTCACCGTAAGCAGATGTGTGGTGTGAAACTTGAATCACATTTGTGACATGAAAGGACCTCGTTAAGCCAAAGAATTATTAAGAGGAAGACTGAAATAAAGTACTTACATTTGTGCCGTTCCGTGTGACTTCCTGAAAGGTGCTTGGACTTCTCAGACTTTGTAACTATATGGTCACACTTCAGACATCGTGACTTTTTCAGAGTTTAGTTTGAACAACTTCCCCCGTCATCAATATAAATAACAAGCTTCACTTAGTATACTTTTGAGACTTTAAACTGAGTCACGTTTGCTTTAATTTCTTTAAAAACAAACAAACAAACAAAAACCAAAAAACACCAACCAAACAAACAAACAAAACCCCAAAACAACCTTAAGCAGCTTTTCTGATTAGTTACATAAGAAGCTATTCTGTCAGTGCTTTTCCCACAGGTTACCATGGTTTGATATCTTCACACTGTTGTTACAGACGACTACTTTGTGTATTTTGTTTCTAAGCAAGGAAAAGGCAATGATTTACAGTATTTTCTTGCAACACACTCATGTGGTAACATACTAGCACTGCGGGAGGGTATGAAGACAAGTAGTGTGACTGAGCAGTACCACCACCAAAGGGGGATGTTTCCTCTTGCAAGGTAAACTGGAAAGGTAAATGAGACAAAACATTCTAAGAGAGACTTAGTTGCTGCTGTTACTGTCGTGTCAATATCCCTTTAATTGAACTTTACTGGATTGTCAAAAAGGGGAAGAAAGTAGTAGGTTAAAGCTATGACACCAAAAAGGGGTTTAGTGTGTGTTTGTTTTGGTTGTTTGTTTAGGTGTTTTAGGACTGGTTCTGCAGGTTGAACGGGCTGCTTTCCTGGGACTCTAAGCAGTGACAGTATTTATTGAGTGATTCACTGCATGAACTCTGATAGGAGAGTATTTTCCTGTCCGGCTACATACACACACAAAAGTATCATCATGAGTTGGTCTATCAGAAATATCTTCAAAGAGAAACTGAATTCTTACTATATTCTGATATATTCAGTTACAAATTCCGAATTTGTAATAGAAAATATCACTTTAGTACCCACATGGCTGTTTTTCTTCCCTTTTAAAATATTTTATATCCTATAGAACAAAATACCATACACTCAAATAAATGTAATTTTTTAATATAACCAAGGTTTGCTGTGGGCATCGATTTGCCTCTTTTTCTTTCTGTTTCAAGCAAATTATTTCTTTTTGTGGCTGCCAGTTCATGGAGAGACCTGGAAAGAAGCGTCCTAAAGAAGGTGCTTCCTATCCTGGGGGTAGAGAGTGTGTGTGGTAAGGGGAAGAAATGCGTTTTTCTTTTGGCATGCCGTCATATAGAAATTGAAGTCCCAAGGAATGCTGTGGTTTAGGAATGTTATTCCCCAATTTAGTGTTCCCACTGAAACACTCTAAACTATTTTCCACTCACTTACTCCACCCTTCCCCTACTCCTCCTTCTTTGTCAGGATGGAGAGAACTGGAAGCACAAAAGGTGAAGATCACAGGTTGAGATAAGAACAATTTACTGGAAACAACGAATGAAATAAGAAAACAACCAGTAACAGCAACAATATTTATAGCACTATACAAGAGATGAGTGATTCACACTTGAGTGCTCCCCATGACAATACCTGGCTGTGCAGTGCTACTCGACTGAAGGGACCCCTTCCCTGTGTTGCAGAATAACCTCTAGGTCCTGGCCATGCCCCTGCTGGCTACTGCCAAAATTAACCCTGTCCTGGCTGGAAATAGGACAGGATACACAAGGGTCATTATAACAATGAATAGCTCTGTTTCTGCTGTTTGTGAAATTTGTAAAGAAGTTAGACCAGCAGAGATTAAGTGATGATTAACGTCATAGTTTAGATACAGTACAAACCATGCTGAATGGTGACAGTTTTACATCTCTGTCTCATGTAGTCCTGAACGATCAAATGTGCTGTGGATGTTCAAGGTGTGACAAGGGAAAAGAAGAGATAGTAGAAATTCTATCACTGAGACTGATCCAGGAGTGGGACTTTCTTCCTTTCTACCTCTCATTAGCTTAGTAGATCAGGGGAATGCTCAGAGCTGCTGCAATGTAGTGGATCTCCTGTAAATCCCTGTTGAACACTTTTTTTGTTTTGGTGTTTGGCCTGTCTACTATTACATACTGTCCAATGCAATACTATCTATAAAGGCTGCAAAATGCTTATTAACTTAAAATTTGGGTGCTGCTGTAGATGCTCTCTACATTACTGGTATTGAATATTTACTACAGTAGCTTCAGGTTGCGCAGTCTGTGGAGTTGAAGTGGTTATTTACGGTGTAATTGCTGTTTCTCAAGCAGTATCTGCAGAGGAAATGGATCTAATAGTATTTTGACTTTTCTCTGCTGACAGTCATTATCTGGTTCTTTTGTGGTTTTTTGAAAGGTTTTGTTATCTTTTTCTGCCACTGACCTTGGCCATTTCTAATCTTAAAGACCATAGATCTGATTACTTGCAAAAGATCAATTTTTCCTCTAATTATTAGTCTTTAGTACAACATTACTCTGCTATAGGCTTGTTGAGGTGAAACACTCTTGCAACAAAGCTACTGTATTTGCTACAACGGTGCTGGGAAAGCTTGCATTTTAGAATGAGCTGAAGGACGAATAGCCAGGACAGGGTAAGACACCTCGTTCTTAGTTATTGGCTCTTAGAATTTGTTTATGGGTGTTTGCTTTAAACAAAGCAATTATAAACAAAGTGTATTCCAGAACAGCTCTTTGCAGTACTGAGGTGAGGAATAAACATTATGTTGTATGAATATGCATTTTATGTAAAGCATATTACATAATTCATCATGAAAACTGCAGTAGTTCAGAAATTAAAACAGGCATCATTCTTTGAGAACATTTAAAACTCCATTGTAGTAAGATGGTAAACCACAAAGTGATTCATATTTACACTTCAATTACTGATTTTTTTCTCCATTTCTTTCCTCTCGTTAAGTACAACTGGGATGATAATCCACATTTGCCTAAATTTCAGCAATTATTAACTCTGAACCTCAGCTTTACCATGGTGTTATGTCTGCTACATTTTCAGCTTGATGTATGGATAAATAACTTTTTTCATTGGAGACACTGCTTGAGGCTGTGGGAAGGCAGTAGGAACGGAGCAGGCAGGTGAATATAGAGATTAAATGCTGAGTCAGTGATCCTGACTTGAAGCACAGAAGGGAGATAGAGATAAACCAGTGCCCAACTGGAATTGTCAGATAACAGTATTCCAGTTTTTTTAGCTTATACTCTTGCTGCAACATGCATGATAGGCTAAAGTTTATTCTCTAGCTACCCCTGTTATTCTGTGTTCAGAAGTACCTTAAGGCTTGGGGTGTAGCCTTTCATGTAGGGAGAATAGGAGTAAATGTAACATCTGTTCTGGCCTCTAACTCAGCTGGGGTGGTAGTGGGGAGAGTGAGAGAGAGAATGAGTGGTTGCTGGAGATGGTATAGGGGGTATGTGTTTGTATCTTTGTCTGTTTTCCATTCTTTCTGGGCTAGGTGTTGAGAGCTGACTGACAGTCCTTCCAATGCTCCCTTAAATGCTATATAGACATCCAAGTGTTGATTAAAATTTGAAATAGACTTGATGAGAAAATGTTTGTAGAAAAAGAAATTTCAAGTAACACTGATATGGTATATGAGCAAGTGAAGCTCTACAGGGGACTTAATTTCAGCTGGTGAAATATGTCTTAGAACCCTGAAATCTGGTATCTCAGTTTCACATTGTCTGCACTGATCTACTGTAACTGTCTTATAGTGATGTGCTGGAGATCCTGAGGAGTTTCTCTGAGAAATAGAATTGTTCAGAAGTGCTGCATTCATCCTTGTTGATTGAAGCAGAGTCACCTGCATTTCTCACAAGGAAATTTATGGGCGGCATTAACAGTACATTCTTTTACAGCAGAATAGACCACTGATGTGTGCTCAGTAGTAGGAGTCTG